TGTTATTTAGCATAAAAAAATATACATTATTATAAAAGCTTATTTAATCATATTTACGTTATGAAAAAATATATTTTCAAATATACTAGAAGATTTGATTTCTTCAATTTAATATGTTAGAACTAGATATTATTGAACGAAACGTACGGTGCGCATAATTACTCCCCTATTTTTCCTGCAGAATTATTTTTCTTTTAATAATCCGAAAGAATTATTCGAATAGATAGCTGGAGCTAATCTTAATGTGTTTTCCTATTTTATTTACATAATAAATAAATATAAACAAAATTTAATAGGTCAGATGAAATCAAATAATATTTGCAACTATTCCTGCAAGTATTAATATTAGCTTTTTCAATATTTCGCTTAATTCCGGGTAAATCTCGCCTACTTAGCGTTAGAGATCTTAAATTATTAAATTTAGATTCCGCATAGATAACGAAAATACTTTTTACTTTAAATACCTTTCAATATCTATGTCAAGATCTAGTTCTTTCAAACCGAAAATTTTGTTTTTTCTCCAAACTGAAATTTTTTTTTTTTTATTAAATAATCCTATATTATTTTTTTCCGATCTTTTTTTTTTAGGGCGTATTGTTTTTTTTTAAAAAAATTCGTTTCACTCTTTTTGGACTGAAATATTGTCCTTTTTTCAGAATTTTTTTCGGTACTTATTTTTTTTTTTTTTCAGGTTCCTTTTTTTCGGAAATTTCTCTTTTTTTAAACCAATTTCTTTCCTCTCAAATTTTTTTATTATTATTAAATAAAGAAATAAAATATTATATTAAATATATTTACAAAATTATTGTTTTTTTTAAAAAAAATCAAGTATCATGTAGGAAAATTGAAAATTTGACCGATGTTGATAGAAAGATGATTAAGGTTTTTTCAATTAAATTGAACATTGGATAAATATTTAATTCATAAAAATCAAAAAAAAAATAGATATTTTTACAATATTTTATAATTAATTAATTGAAGTAATTGTTGATTTAATAATAGATTATTATAACCAAATCCATATCCGAAATTCTCTTTTAATCAAATGGTTTAGTTAAATTAATAATTTATCGAGTAAAATGAGTAAAATGAGTATTAAAAGCATAATAATAAATGAAATGAACAGATTCTAATACATTTAATTGTTTAAATATTTTTCCCAAGTTGTATCTTCATAATATTAAAGTTTTTTTGTAAATACTTTTAAAAAATTAATCAATTTATATTGATAATTATTTTTTCACAATTCCTTAATTAATTCGAATTTCATTCTACATCAAACGTCAAATCATTAATATAAATAGCTACATTATTGTAAATATAATTGGGAATTGCTGAACGTCGCTTGGGCAATTGTTGCCTGGATTTTTTCGAATATTTCACGTGATGTACAATATATAAAGAGCAAAATTTATTAATTGGCTGACAGCTGATTTTTTCAGCTAATTTTTGATTAACTAAACTTTTTATCGTAAAAGATATTAAAAATTTTTTTTTGCAAACATATTTATTCAAAATAATCTTATCTAATGAAATTCTATTTGCAAATATTAAAATTTAAATCACACGTTTACGATTTTAAAGAAAAAAATCACATTTATTTTTAATGAAGTGATACAAATAAAAGAAAAGACAAGTAAATTACAATGATCAAGAAGAAAGATGCTAATAAAAAATGAAATAACAATGGAATAATGGAAAGTAATAGAAGATGAAAGGGAGTAAAAAAGAGTAATGTGAAGTGATTAGGACATGATGGGAGATGAAGAGAGTGATAGGAAGATGAAGAGAGAGTGATGAGAGACAAAAAAAAGTGATGGGAAATAAACAGCAGGAGAGAAAAAGAAATAATGGAAAATGAAAAGATGTAATAGAAATAATGGGAAGCAAAAAGAGAAGTAATAGAAGGTGAAAAATGATGAGAGACAAAAAATAAAAAATGATCATGATAGGAGGTTGGATAATGAACGAAACCAGGTAAAAAATAAACCATAAAGGAAGTTAATAATAAACGAAATATAAGATAGAAACAAAATAAAAAAAATAAAAAACATATCTTTATTAATTGTAAAACTGAAAGAACTAAAAATCCAAAAAAATTAGTTAAAAACGAAATATGAAACATAAACAAAATTAAAAAATAAAAAAAAGAAACGAAATGTAAATTGAAAAATAACTGAACCTTAATTGCAGAACTGGAAGGACTAAAGGACCTGAAAATAATGAAATAGAGTTAGTAAGAAACAAGTGTAAGAATGTAAAAATAAAAGAAAAAAGAAAAAATACCTCGAGATGAAATAAACCTCAAACCTATAATAAAAATGAGATTTGATAAACAAATAAACATGACGCAATCATGTGGCCAATCTGGCCAAACAAAAATATTAAATCTGCCACGTGATCGAAGACCCAGTCAATAACTCCCCCAGACCCACAGCGGCAAATGTATCGTTCTTATACAATCAGGTGCTATGTTCTTATACGACGTATATGTCACATAATATAAGTCGTATAAAATAGTATGTCATACATGTATAAAAACGATACATTTGCCCCCAACGTAACCATCAAAAAAAGCTTGGGCACGTGATTCATGTGATTTGACTGCAGCTATGGAAATTGCACTACGCAGTTATTGCTAAATTAACTTCCTAAGGTCAACACTAACTCCAAAGGTAAAAGTTTCAGCCTAAACCAACCTTCCTTACCTAACCCTAAGATACTCCTATGTCTACGTTATCTTCAAGGATAAGTATTTCCGCCTAAACCAACTTTCCTTACCCTAATCCTAAGATACTCCAATGTCAATGTTATCTTCAAAGATAAGTATTTCAGCCTAAAGTAACTTTCCTACCCACTCCAAAGATGATTGCTTGAGAATATAATGAAATTTTATAGATGTTAATTCATAAGAGTAAAACAAATTCTTTTAAATTAATAAATTAGTGTAATTATTTTATTAAAATAGAATGTAATATTAATTTGACAATAAAATTTATTCAATTTCAATTTATTAAAATAATACATTAATTTAAAATAAATTATTTTAAATAATGAGTGCTATCAGTATGCCTTCCATGTTAATGGCATGGTTCACTTATTTTGCCTTACTACTTTATGATTCAGACTAGTTTTGCTCTTCTAGAAGAGAAGGTAGCATTAATTAAACTGTCAAATAACAGTTGCAAATTAGTTTGTTGAACTGGTATTATTGCTTACTTGGTGATTTCCAAGATATTAGGTTTATTCTACAGGTTTCATATTTTCTGCAAGTAGCTATTGTAAATAAAATAAGCCAACTTTTTTTTTAAAAAAAAAAATTTGTATTCTTTGGTATTGGTAATGTAGATGCGAAAAGAAAGGAAAGCTTAAATAATAGCTTAAATAATACATGATAAATATTTAAATAGATCAGTTGACACAAACTGCGCCGTATGTAACAAAATCACATAAATCACATGCCTGAGCTTTTTTTGATGGTGTTACTGGGGAAGATCCCAGTCAATGTTTACCAATTCCCAATATAATTTATATCATTCTAATATTATAATTATAATTTAATACATAAATAATTACATCATTTGATGACATATTATTTACAGGTTGTGAGTTGTAAGTAATTAAGATTATCATTGATATTTGATAACCATTTCCACTATGAAAATCTCGTGTATAAATCCGATCTATGAATTGTTTCAAGACTAATATAAAAAAAAAATCAACAAATTTGTATACATTAAATTAAATAATGTATCATATATACCATTATGAATACCTTTAAATATTTACAATTAAATGTTTAATACAATATGCAACCATGGCAAATAAATGATTTGAATTATAGACTTTTTAGTCAAGGTTGATTCTATACTTGATAACAATTTGAGCATAATTTGCATAATATTAATTTTGAGTCCTTAAGTATATTAAAATATAAAAGCATTTAATATTGTAATATTATAAGAAAAATTGGTAAATTTATGCAAATAATTATTAAATACTAATTTTTTTTATTTTAATTTATATTATATCATTATAAAAACATACTAATTAATATTATAAAATAAAAATACATTATCATATAGGTAAAAAGCCTAAAATCAAATTAGTTAAACTTTTTATAATGAACTCCATATTATATTTATTATCAAACTTAAACACTTTTTTTTTAATTAAACTTTATTATATATATAATTAGATACTATTTCTTCAACAGGTCTCCATAAAATATGACGAAAACCAATTACTATAATAATAAATCCTTTTAATTTATTTGGATTTGATTTAATTGTTTTAATACGTTCATCAAATACCCCTGAATTAGAATAATTAACAACATTTCCCTTTGAGATTGTATTCATATATGATTTCAATTGGCTTATACCACCATTCAATACATCATCTATAGTTGTCTGCATTGTTTTTTTAAATTCTTTTGACCAATATGTATATTGTCTTTTTAATAAAACCTCTTCATTTTCCTTTTCAAGAATTTTATCTAAATTTTCTAATTCATTTGCACCAAATTTAACTTTCTGACTTATTAGTCCAATTAATGATATATATTTTAATTCTAGACTAATATAATTATCTCCTATTCCTTTCAGAATAAAAACATCTGAATAACCAAAACGGCCTGATCCCTTTGGTTGTTTGCCATCCATTACTAGTGAAAGTTCTGGAATACGATATTTTAATGGTAGAAGACTTTCAACAATTGCTTGAAGCATAGATTCATTTGCTGAAGATAAAGACATCCTTGATCTTGTTAATAAAAAGGTCTTTAGAATTTCTATGAAAGGTAAAATATTTCCCATAACAAGGCTTTCATATGCTGAAGCAATGAGAAGTGCATTATTAACAACCTGTCTGTACATTAGATTATCCTTATTTTGTTCTAAAATTTGAATTTGTTTCTTCCAGGATCTTTGTGTATCATCAGCATCATTATCTCTTACTCTTTTCAGTTCTCTTGTTTGTCTATCTTGAAGAATAAGTTTTTCATTCCATTTTTTATTAAAAATAGATTCTAATGTTTCACCTAAACAATATATATCACTTTCAACATTATTATATGTATAGCAATTATGAAATATTAAACGAATATCTTTCTCAAACTCTTCTAAACTTGTATATTGATTATTCTTTAATTTTAAATTTATAGTAAATAAGGATATTGGATGTTTTATAACTTTATTTTCAATATCTTTGTCAATATATTTATTGAATTTATGAGCATAAAATTCATTTTCAAGTTCATGAAGAATATCATAACAGAAATCAATAAGTTTAATGTTCTTTTTAGATAAATCTAACTGTGAAATTTCAGAAAGATTTACTGTTTTTTTTGGAAGCAATGCATCTGGTTGTGAAGAAACTTCAACTGAAGATGCAATACTAGTAACAGCAGGCACTAGATTCTCCTTTTCACACTTCTTAATAATTCTTTGCCAGAATATTTTTAATTCTTTTTTACGTTGTGAATGTTCTGTAATTGCCTATAATAAGAAAGAAATGGTTAATAGTGTGTCAAATTTTATTTAGTGATAAAGAAGGTACATAGCCAGTTCCTCCTCCAGAACTAGCAGACTTTACCAACAACAAAGTTAGGGTGCCTGGATTGAGAGCTTGGGCTGGTTACCAAGCGAACAAACCCAGTAATTCTCACTAAGAGACCATGGCGAGTATTAGGAGTTACCCATACTTTGCAAAATAAAAACAAACACACCTTCTTTTTCACTGTATCAAAATCATCTGGTTCTAATAATCTTTTGGCTTCATCTAAATAGTGAGTATACCAAATAATGTCAACATTTTTCCACTCGTTCAATGCTAATGAAGTGCTAGTTTGTGAATTTAGTGAAGAAATAATAATGGTTCTGTTAAGATCCAAAAATCCATGGTAAGACTGACAATTTCTTGATTTAATTAAGTAAGAAACAAGAGCTAATAGTAATCAAAGAGTTAGTTAGAAACTGAATATGAACATTTTTGTTAAAGATTTAGATTTTCTAACTAAGATTATTTTCTTACCATCATATCCAATATATTTTTCAGTTGTTGTTGTACTCATGATTATTTAGTTTATTAACTTACAAAAAATAATATAAAGTATTTGCAAAATATTTTTAGAAAATAAGTAAAAATAAAAAAGCAAAAATCGTAGTAAAGCAAGCAAAAATTGTAAAAAAGTAATTGTAAAAAAGTAATTGTAAAAAAAATAAAAAAAAAGTAAAAAGCAAATTATGTGAAATAAATATAAAAAATACTACTGACACATTGACACAAAAAATGCTCTATCAAATACTCAGCTTTTGTCAATCTGATGTATTATTACAAAAAATACTCAGCTTTTGTCAGTCTGGTGCATTATTACAAAAAATAATAAACTAGTGAATGTAATCCATGTAAGAATGAAAAGAAATTAAATTTTATTAAATAAGTATGACTCAAATTACATAGATTTAATACTCTAAAACAAACTAATGAGAACAAAAATAAATAAGTATGACTCAAATTGCATAAATCGAATTACTCTAGAACACACTAATGATATAAACTAAGAAAGGTATATATACCAAATGATTAATTGTTATAAAACTTTTGTTATATTTGTTCATTTTTTTGTTTCACATATAAAATTTTTTATCTCTATTAAAACAATATGGTGAGTGTTGCAATTAGTTCATCTTAGTGTTGCAGCAAAATATGGTTATGATTAGGTACTAGTCTTCCATAAAGCACTTTTCCTTCAATAAATCAAGATAATTAGTATCTATTAAAAATTAAAAAAGCTTTGTTCTATTTGTTAGTTATGTGATTATTTCAAAATTATGCTCCAGATTTTTATATATTTTTTAAAATGATTGCCCAAACACCCAAACAATGAAAACAAAAGATGAAATCATTAATGGGCAGCCGAAAATAATAATGATGAGAGAATAAAAAAATTCGAGGTTATGTACATATTAATAATTACTAAATAAGGACAATACTAAAAAAGAATTTTTTTTTATTTTTATGCGAAAGTTACTTTGAGTTGACCCATTTAGTACATACATGTTTTAAACCAAAAAAACTGATATTGTGATATAATTGTGGATAATGTTTATTCCATGTATTTGTTCAAGTCATGAGCTATCTTAATAAGCTATCTACTAGTATCTTTGTACACCAGCTACTAATGTTAAAAAAATCTTTGGTAATATAATCACCTGAATTATAATATGGTATGATAATCATGATATCTTGAGAATTATGATCTTGAGAAATTTCAAAATATTTGCCAATATTGACATTGTATTCAAAATAACAATTACTGTACATTTTAATAGATTCCGAAAAATAGTCATAAAAAACCTTGAGCTAACATAAAAAAAGCTCATTGATTATTAATCTCATTAATAGTAATTAAAACAGCATACTATGTATTATACTTCATTCAACTCCTTAGATGTGATGTTTTTAGAACCATTGATTTTTTTGAGGACAACTGTATAATTTTGGAAACAAATATTTTCTTTGTGATCATAATTATTAACTGGGCCGTCAATCCAAGTAGCTCTATAAATTTTTTTAAAATTTCCTTCAGTAATGAATTTTAAATTTATGAATTATACATATTCCATTTTCCCATAACAATTAATATGTGTATGTCTAATAAAATCATCAATAATTTTATTTCCACTTGAGACATACTTATATACCATCTTTGTTTTGTAACAGATATGACATATCTGATAACTTTCATCTAAAGGTTTCCATCTTATATTACATTCAGGATATTTATTTTTTTTTGTATCTTGATTTAATTAAAAACGTATTAATAACAAAAAATTAAGTTTATATTTATAGTTTGTTGGTTGTTCTGTATTTTTTTTATAAAAAAAATTTAGTATTTATTTGAGTCAAGAAAACTGCTGTATAATATAGTGAAATTTGATAAATTGGTTCGGATCTATCAGTTCCACTAAAAATATCTAGCTAAAAAATTTCGATATATTGAAAATCTATTTAATATACTGAATTTTTTAAAAATTTCTATTCTAATAAAACTAAATACAGTCAGAACTCGATATAACGATTCGTGATAAACTGATTTTAGCCTATAACAAACTTTTTTCTCAAACCAAAACTGTCTATATTAAATTTTATCACTATATACCAATTTTATTATAAATTTCGCAATATTATATATAATGAAGTCTGATCATAAACCAGTCATATGTATTTATTCTCGATAAGCCGATTACCACCTAACTCCGGTCAGAATTAACTTATTCCCGGCTGGCACTATGCAGCGCAGCAGATCACCTGACATTTATGCCTTAATTTTGGAATTTAATAATTCCTGTAAGAATATGATATTAATAATAAACAAATTAGCACAGCATGTAATACAATTAAAATCATTTTTTTTATTAATAAAAATTTGGTATACCGAATTTTTATATTTTTTACTATATAATCGGTATATTAAGAATATTTGATTTATCGAATATCCGGATATAACGATCCAAAATTGCCTAACCGGAGGGTTCGTTATATCGAGTTCTGACTGTACACTATATTTTAATTTTTTAAGTCTTAGAGGTCATAAAAATTAATTCTTGGCTAAAATTAAGATTTACTGCATCACGTTACTTAAATTTTATTGGTTAACGATCATGTGATCCAGTTTATCAAATTTCATTGTGTATATACAGTCAAATCTCGATATATCGAACCCACGGTTTTGGATAAAAAGTTTGGTACATAGTATAGTTCGGTAAAGAAAAATTTTTTTATATACTGAACCCCTAAGTTTTTCAGGAAAGTTCGGTATATAAAGAAAATCACGTGATTAATATCCCAATTTCGGCCAGAATTAAGGATGTAACTTAATAATTAACTTTTTTTTGCATTATGATCACAATTTCTAGAAGCAGTACAATTTTCTAAGACATGACATGCAAAGAATTCCTATAGTTATGCATGATGCTGCATAACTGCTGCTGAAGGTTATTTTTTAGAAATGTTCAGAATGAGTTATACATAATTAAATATTTACAAGCAATGACAGGAAACATGTCATAGTATAATCAAAGATTAAATAAAAGTACCTATATTAAAAGTGAGCCATGGACTTATTATGGTTTTTCCAAGTTGCTAATTAAGATTAACAAGCAATAAAACAGGAATAAAATTATAAAGCTTGAAAGTACTATACTACAATAAGCATATATATTATTTAATAAAAAATGATAATTATATTAATTTCTTGATTATTATATTTACTAGACTTTATTTTTATAATTTATAAAGTTTAACTCAAACATTTAATTTGATTAATGGTATTACAACTAATAATATGTAAGAATACACTAGTAATTTATATTGTATGAGTAACAAAATGTATAATAGTTTGTATTCATGCAAGACACAGATATAGTAATTTTGTTGCAAAAAGATGCAATGATACTAATAGTCTAATATTGTATTCTAAAATCTAGTTATAATTAAACTTTATTACCAAAATTTGAATCAAATTGAATCAAATTAACTATCCAGTTTGATTGATGTGAAGCACAAAAAAGGTTTAAAAATCCTATATATAGTAACTTTTAGAAAGTAATTTCAATAACTTTTAAAGTGTTGAACATTTTCATTTGATAACTTTTTAAAGTGATAAACATTTTCATTTTCATTCTTAAAATGACATCATTATTCCATTCCAAACTTTCAAAAGACTTTTCTTTTATTTTAAATGATGCTGATGATTATAATGTTACTATTAAAGTTGGAGAAAATGAAAACATAAAGGAATTTCGTGCACATTCAGTAATTTTACGTGCACGTTCTCCTTATTTCAAAAGTGCACTTTCATCTAATTGGATTACAAATCAAAATAACATGATTATGATTAATAAAACAAATATTAAACCAAATGTTTTTGATTTAATTTTGAGGTAAGGATAAATTTTTTGTTTTCTAATTATTTCTTATCCAATAATTTGTTTATTAATGTAATAATATACTTTTTTAGATATATTTATGCTGGAGAACTTTATTTGACTGAACAATCCGGTGAAGACATCCTTGAATTGTTAATTGCATCAGATGAATTACTAATGGAAGAATTATTTTATCATGTGCAAGATTATTTAATTGAAAATCTAACTAAATTGGTTCGAAACAATTTTCCTTATTATTTGCATATTGCATTTAAACTTATCAATTGCAAGAAATTACAAAATTATATTCAAGACTATTTAATTGAAAGACAATCTGCTGAATTGATTCTAGAAAATTTTTCTATTATTACAAATATTGCATTTAAACTTAATAATTTCAAGAAATTGCAAGATTACATTGTTGGATATATCTGTAATAATTCATACTTATTTTTTTATACACATTTATTTCTCTCTCTTGATAAAGATATTCTTTATAAAGTACTTGAGAGTGAAGAATTACAAATTAGAGAAGTTGTCGCCTGGGAACACTTAATTAAATGGGGTATTAACCAAATTCCTGGAGAGAAGTGTGAAATAGACAAATTGAGTTATGAGGCTTATAAAGAATTAAAGGAAATATTAAATCGATTTATTCCTCTCATTCGATTTGTGGAAATTACTTCTGATGATTTTAATGATAAAATCAAACCATATAAGATTATTATTCCTTATCAAATTTATGAAGAAATTGAAGACTTTTATAATAAGGGTATCTTTCCAAAAATAACATTACCACCTAGAATAAGAAAAATTGATTCAAAAATTATCAAACTAAATCTTGTAAAAATAATTCTTAATTGGATTAATAAAGAAGATTTCAGGATTTCACTTTATGACTTCAATCTTATTTATCGTGGTAGTATTGATGGTATGAAAGATGATCAATTTAAAAATATTTGTAAGGGTGAAGTAAAAAGTTTAGTTTTAATTAAAGTTAAACATACAAATGAGATCTTTGGTGGATATAGTTCTATTGGATTTAACTCAATTGGAGATAGACTTTTACGTGATGAATATAATGTACATGATCGATTTTATTATTCATCAGATAACTTTATTTTTTCATTTACAAATGATGAAGATACTCAAAATATGAAAATAAGTCGTGTGATAAATTATGATAAAGCTATTCGTATTTGTAGTCACTATGGATTTAGTTTTGGTAAAAATTCATTGAATATGTGTGGTAATATGTTGTTGGTTGATAATGCTAACGATATTTATGAAGATAATGTAAATACAAATTCAGAATACTATATTGAAGAAATTGAGACATTCGTTGTAACTAAACAATAGTTATTATCTTTATTAACTCGTCTCCTTTTAATTTCTATTTTAAGAGATATTATTTTCCTTTTCCTATTCATTTCCTTAATTTTAATGATATAGATGTTGTTATTCGAGTCTGAGAACGAAAATATAAAGAATTTCATATGATGACAATTGTTTATTAATTTCAATCCATACTGTAATGATTTTGACCGAGTTAATTGTCTCGATAAATTTTTTCATTGAGTAAATCATGTTCGGAAACTTGATTCTAGTATTTGTTACCTAACAATTCAGACATGTGATTATTAAAAATAATTTTCAAAAAATCGCTATTTTGCTTTGTAGTCATGACTAGTGATCTTAGGCACTGTAATTACAAGTCATCTTTGGTAATCTCATTATTTTGTGACCAAAAATTAAACAATTAAACATGATTTCCAATAATAATTTTGAAGGAGGTATATCTATAGAGATAGAAATTATTTTATGTACATTGGATTAATAAAATTCGGAATGTATTTGCAAGAGATGGTTTGATAATAATATTATTATATAATTTGGCTATTTAACATTTTCGAATTATTAAATTTTATTCATCAATTAATTAAAATCGAAGAATTATTGTACCACAAAAAATCAATTTCATGTTAATAGAAATAAATCTGTGGATAATATAGAAGTCATTGAAATTTAAATTAATCCGTTATTAAGCCCTATAAAAAATTTTTATCCGAATATTTCCATTATTTCTCCGTGTCTTCCGTAAAAATTCCGTGAAAATGATACATTCACGGATATCCGTGTTAGCGAGATGAAAATTTCCATAATTTAAGGCTATAAATTCCATTAAAATGATACATTCACGGAAAAAATATGGAAAGATAAAACACGGATCAGATTTTTTACAGGGAAGAAATTCAAATTACAAGATTAATTTTAAAAGGGATATAATTAAAAGTAATCTTATTAAGACATTTTAACTTTGAGCAAATTATGATACACAACTAATGAAATTTCAAATGGTTTCAGTAAACAATAAAATGTATGACTTTGTAATATAATTTTTTCTACTGAGAAGACTTTACTTTTTGTCCTACAGAATGAGCTTTTTAATGGTACAAATCAATAAAGTGACATCATTTATTGTGATTTTTTACTTTAATTATAATAACTCGTTTATTTTATATCATATTATATAGCATCGTGATCAGTTTCTACTTGCTTTATTTAATTGGAATTATGTTTTATATATACCAAATTATAATAAAACATAGCAGATAGGAAATAAATTATACAAAAATAATTAATACAACCTATATAAATAAGGTTACAAAGAAGCTGCTTGTTTACAAATACTTGGAATTTGATTTGTTCTATTTGGGCATCTAAAAAAATATTATACATAAAATTTCGATTACATTATTTATAACAAATCTTTCTCTAAAATGTAATTTAATATATTCACTGGTTCAAAAAACTGTATATCGATCTTACTAATGTCTATCACTCGTCAGGCGGAATCTACAATATATTTTATAGTTTCTGCAAACTCGGTTAAACTTCAATTTACTTAAAATTATCATATATAATATCATTAAGACGGAAACCATCAAACACCTATCTTTATTACTGTTTATATTAAGTACATTCTTTTACATTGAGATTGGCAAAAATAATGTTTGTTGTTAAATAATATCTGCATACAGTATAAACATATAGACAATCTAACACAAATATTGATCCTGATTGACAACTTTTTCAATGAGAATTATTAAGTTACCATGGTAAGTAAAAATTGGAATTTTCTATGATTGATTCAATTCATTCAAAGAAATTAGATAACAATTTGAAAATTCTCAAAAAATATTATATATGTTCCTCGTCTGATTTAATGATTTTCCACATAATTTACAATCTTTTTCACTTTCAACACTTTACTTTCTATGTTGGGATAGTTGATATCAAGTCATGACTATTAAGTAATCCACCTACTTGTAAAAAGCATAAAACTTATACAACATTCTTGAATACTTTGTGGTACTTTTGTTTCATTTCACGTTCACTACATTCAAAGTCTATTGCGTAATACACATTCAAATATATATTATTATCTGTTGTATCATTAATGTAATAATGCAATAAAACATTTTTCAATAATATTTGCTACAAGAAAGCGTCTTCAAATTCAATATTATTATTTTACAAGTTATTTTCTGAGTTATTTCTCCCTTTTCACTTAATTTACCTAAAGTTGTTTTACAAAGATAACATATCAAGTAAGAAAGAATTGATCTAATAGTTTTAGATCTTTTTATTTAAAAAATACATTATATTTTAAAATGACCGATTAAACAACTCATTCATGAGTATATTTGAATAGTTCAAGTGATAATTTCCTATAAAAAATTTTTAGAAAATTGATCATATATCAAGAGTTTTTTGGAATGAAAACGATCATTTATCAGAATTTTTTTCAGAAAATTTTTCATAGGGAGTTATCTGGTGATCCTATCTATTATTCAAACCATTAAAGTAAATTTTAGTATAAGTTATACATAAATTCAGTATACAATTATAAAAATCAATATCATCACTTTATAAATAGTGATAACAGAACTTTATAATTTTATTATTGTAAAAGAGTAGGTTTTATATTTGATACATTAGAATGAAATTTTAATTTTCACATTTTTACCCAAAAGCTAAATAAATACAAAAATGATTAAAGAAACTGAAGTAAATAATAAACAAGAGTAATTAAATTATTTTCTCACTATCTTTAATCACTCTTCAAAGCTAATTACATACAGTATTTTCAGATTTAATATAATCTTTGGTATCAAGTCTTCAATATTAGTTTACTATTATACTGCTATTATGCTTGTGTTACCACCAGTTTTATATCGGTTAAGAAAAGGTAAAGTAGTGTTGGAAATTTAAATTATATACGATGGTGCATAAGAATACTAATTGGTAAATATCAGTTTTTACTAGTGAGTTATTGGATATTACTGTTATTTCTGTATGTCATGGAAAGCTATTTTATGAAGAATTTTCATCGTGAAAATCTAGATCTCTTTTTGTGACTTATCAACATTCTTTGATACATATTTGAAATATGAATATGTAAAACTTCTACATCAATCAGTAATTAATAGGATAAAATGAAAATAAATCATCCAAAGGATTTTAAAAAACTTGTAATATATACAGGTAGTTTATCATATAACATTGAGTCAGTAACACTCTGCAATAGGAAATTTCCTACCAATTGTTGACTATTCCGACCATCATTTTATCTCGTAAACATTAAAAATTTGATAACATAATTGTAGTCCAAATTTTTAGCCTATTTCTAATAATTTCTATTCATCTATATCATTAGGATGATTATTTCAACATGCAAAATATTTAATAATTCCAAGATTATATATAAATTAAAATTTTGTTTCCATTTATTTATCAGAAGTTTTACCACTATTTTAATATCAGCAGACATAATGTAATATATGCAAGTATTTATACATGAGTTGATTGTGGATGCAAAAAGGTTTGTTACTGACTTTTTGTCATTATTGTTTTCAAACTACAATAACCATTTAAACTCTATTTATTATTTACAAATACCGTATATCTAATTTAAATCTTAAAAGTTGAAACTTTGAAATTCTATTACACTCCTTTCTCAAAATTTCTTGATGTAATTAATGAAATATCAAAAATTTCTGCTATTTTATTCCCTGAATTCTTGTTCATATGTGAGTTTAATTGCTTCTATATTTATGATAGTCCACCAAAATATTTCATTTGTTTGTCTAAAAGTCGAAGTTTCAGTTATATGAATTTGGTACGATAACAGATTATTAAAATTATAAGTTATATATATATTTGTATAGCTTCTGTGGTAACAATAAATGTAAAAGAATAAATAAATAATCAACAATAACGAAAAAATAAGTAATTAGACTATTGAAAAATAAATTTATAATAAATTAATAATAAAATGGTAAAATATTTTTAAAATAATTAATCAATGACAATAATAGTTGTATTAATGTTAATAAAGTTGCCATAAGAATTTATAAAGGTAATATTTTCTTATTAATGATAACTTCTTATTATAAATATGAACTAAATTCATTCAATTATAAACATTGAAGACCGTTCATTTTGGAAATAATTCTGTAAAGTGATTATATTATTAAGAGGGTGATTATATTATTGTATAAAAAAGTATTTTAAATATTTAAAATAAATATATAATATTATTGAATAATTAAGTAGTATAAAAGCAAATTATTTAAGGTTATTATTATTATATTATAAAAATATTCATTTAAGAAGCCAAATGCCATAGAAGTTAGTATTATCATCATCTTTGGTGTTATTACATGAATTATAATATTCACTTACAGAAGCTACTACTTCTCTAGAAATTACCAAAATAGCAGAATAAAAATGTATAAGTTTTTGTAATTCCATCCTTCTATTAAGAAAATAATTACACTTGGAAAATACAATTCCTCGTCATAATTTTCCAAACTACATACTTTAATTACTTTATGTTGCGGCCAAATTTTTTTTCAATTATTTTTTATTATATTGTGTATTAGTTCACTTAGTCATATATGTAGGTTTGTTGAAGCCTATTAAAGCAATATCATGTTTATCTTCAAAAAAATCTTCTAATCTTCAATATTGAAATTATTATAATTTTCATAACGTTGTGGTGTTGGCTTTGTTGTATTTGCTGTTAGAATTAGAAGGAACTATTTTTTTAATCAGATAGTCCAGATGTATTATCTTGTATTTCTGTTGTAGTATTAATATACGACCAATATCTTGTATAACTTGTTATATTCTTTTATATTCATAATCCGTACATTAAATTAATATGCTAAAAAGTTCGTAATGTTTTATTGTTTTTGCACGTTTGGAGGCATAATGACTTTTAAGAAATTGATATACTTATAATTCAACAACTTTGACAAATTAGACGTCCATATATTAGGTATTAAAATGTT